TATCTATCTATCTATCTATCTCTATCTATCTAGTTATTGCAACCTATTTATTGCAACCTCATTCTGTTTATTACTATCTATCTATCTATCTATCTATCTATCTATCTATCTATCTATCTATCTATCTAAGGCCTTTATGGTATATGACATAATTTAGTATTAGCATCTATGTCTGCAATGAGAACACAAAGTCGCTATTAAAAAGGAAAAGGAAAAAACAAGATTTCGAATTCTAAGCTAATTAAATTAGCGACGCACAATCTTTCTCTGTAGATTCATGTGTGGCGCGAAATCTGCAATACCCATAGCAGAAATATATATATATATATATATATATATATATATATATATATATATATATATATATATATATGTTTTTCTTTTATTCTATGTTATTTATTTATTTCAATTATGTTGGAAAAAAAGTCGGCCTATTTTGTTAAGTCTTCACTCTTATTAGAATGTTTTCACATCTGTGCCTTTCAATATGTTTATTCATTTAGATATATTACTACGTAGTTAATTCTATGGGGGATGTGTTTATTACTTAATAGCAAAATGAAATTGGTCCCCCATTTTATAGTCAGTAAATACTTGTGTTATGTCAATAAGGGTTTAGCCATAAAAATGTCAGCTTATTTTGTTTATTATTATTAAAAATAAAAGGTTTTCATATATGTCCCTTTCAATATATTTTCCGTTTACATTACTACATAGTTAATTCCGATCAGGAATCAGTTTATTACTTTATAACAAAAGAAAATCAATCCCCTGCTTTATGTTTAACAGAATCTTATATTAGTACAAGTTTATCAATGAATTTAAAAGATTACGGCATATTATAGTAATTTACTAAGCGTAGCTTAGATGTGGCACAAGGCCGAAAGTATGGAGCACTCAGTGAGTATCAAACTATAAACTCATGTAATCACAATAGTGACTTACTAAACATAGCACAAGTTTGCGAGTTCGAATTCACTACTCAGTTGTAAATGATTTAGTGAGATATATTTGCTAACCATTACACAACGTCGAAGTGCCCACGCCATATTATATAACTAATATTGCACAGTTTTGTTTAATCATTTCACTCCAAGCAAGGCAATAAAGCCACTAAGACGCAAGTGGTTACTGAGTGTGAAAGAATATAAGAAAAAAATATATATTAAGGAGAGCGAACAATAAAAGAACAGAAATTAAGAAGACAGAAGATAACGATTGACACTGCATTTAAATTTTGTAAAGATCAAAATTGACTGAGAGTTCCACGAACGATAAGTGAGAGAGAGGAAAATGGCGGTTATATCTAGTAATTTCAAGTGTAAAATGATGAGACCTGAATATCAGTCTAGTACTGCGCTTAAATTCGATTAGCTGATGTACCAAAGAGGAAAGATCATCAGAGCAATTACTAGGGAAATATTTATAGAAAGAGCACAGGGAAGCTATGTTACAGCGGTGGGAAAGTTACTGAGCCCGAGGTGCCAGGTCAGGACCAATAATATATATATATATATATATATATATATATATATATATATATATGTAAATGAATGAAGAAAAAGGAACTGAAGAATTTTATCAAAGCAAATTTGTCTTGTTAAAGTCCTCAGAGGACAAAATGCGTCGGTTAAGATGAGTTTTCATTTTATCCTTTTACAGATATACTGTATCTGAAATTTTTACATATATGTAAATATTTTTTTAAATTTTTTTTAAGCATTACGCCCCGTGCAAGGCGTGAAGCTACTAGGATGCAGGGGGTTGCAGAAGATTTGGAGCGAGAGCAGATAGGAGTGATAGAAGAAAGGATGAGGAGAGGGATAGTGGGTAGATCAAGGTAACTGGAGATGTCGATTGACATTACATTTGAATAGTTGGAGATTATAGCTCTCAGGGAAACAGTAATTGGGAAGGGTGTTCCACAGGCGAGAGGTGCGAGGTATGAATCTATTGGAGTAGAAGAGACGGCTATATTTAAAAATTTCTACAGTGAAAGGGTGAGAGCGGGATGCCAGCCTCGTAGGGCGCTTGAATTCATCTCTAGTGCAAGGGAGATAATACTCGCATGGAAAAATGATAAAATATTAAAAAATATATTTGGCTTATTATAGAGTAAGGCTCTGTTTTTTTTTCTAGTTCCAATTAAGAACAACTTTTTTCCTACAATTGCTCTCTCCATTCTCAATATAATTCTTTCTTTTTCTTCTTTTCTTCCTCACCCACAACGCCCTGCTTATTTTGTTCAACTATTCCTTTTGCGTCGTCTCTTATTTTTTATTTATTTATCCATTTATGCCGATTTTTAAAACTATTTCATCACTAAAATTTTCGGCTGAGAAATAATAATTTCTTTCAATTTTTTTCATACTACTATAGATTAAACAATCCACATTACGAATATATTACAAAAATTCAATTTTATAAAAGTTAATAGATCGTGGTGGTGGGGGGGTGCAGTTCGCTATGTAAATTCATTGTAAATTCCCACTCCCAACGGTTGAATCACATTGAAGACACCTGTTCTCGTTCGATCACCGAAGTTAAGCAATATTGAGCCGGGTCAGTAGTTAAATGGGATACCGCTTGGGAACACTGGTAAGCAACCTCCTACAATCTGAAATATGTTTCGCCTTTGAATAACTCGCAAAGGCTTGATTAGTCGTAAAAAAAACATCAGTCAATTCTAAAAATGTATAAATACAGGCAAACCTCTCATCTACGGACCCCCCCCCAATCAACGGACTTCGGATGCAACGGACAAAATCTGCAGACAAAAATAAAAAAAAAAAGTTATGCAGGAAAAAACTTCCAAATCGTCAGCGTTGTATTTCAAAATTTACTGGCTTAGCGGAACGAGCCGAATTAGTTCTCAAAGTGACCGCTTGGCGACAGTGGCTGGCCTTTCAATTGTAAACAAAGACGGGTTTACAGTATATAAAGTACGATACATTAGCACATGCATGAGAAAGTAGCTGTGAGAAATCTATTATTTTTGTTATTTTGATTAATATATCTATTAAGTATATATATATTTATGCCATATATACATGTTTATAGTATTTACATTATCATCATAACTACTGGTAGTTACTATAGTGGTTTTATAACTCAAGAATAATCCCTTCCTATTTACGCACAATAGGCTTTAACGGACCACCCATCCCCCTTTCAGTCCGTTGATGAAAGATTTGTCTGTATACATTTTTAATTCTTAATTTAGAGTGCTTTATCAATAGTTTTTTTTTACGTGCCGTGTCCCCTCATGACGTTGGAGATCATGGACCACCACTATTTCCTGTTCTTCGTAGCTCTTAATAGATTTTGTCTTTTTGATATTTCTCTAAAACCCTGTTACGTCATCAATTTGCTCAAGCCTACCAAGTATGTTACGTGCTGCTTTCCTCTTTCCCTCTGTTTTGTGAGTATCAGATTTTCCAAGCCCTCCTTCCTTATTACGTGCACCAGACATTTCAACTGCCTCTTCCTGATGTTAAGTATAAGTTTCATTTTTGTTTCCGTTGTCTCTGGAACTTCGTTGTTGCTCACATGATCAGTCCATGGTATCCTAAGCATCCTTATGCACGAAAAAGAAATTTTAATTTTAATTTTTTTTTTTTTTACATTTTAAATCACGTCGTATGATCATATTTGTTTTGGTATCCATATGGCTATTAATTTACAATTAATTTACATAGGAAACTGGATCCCTATGCTTACCATGCAAATCCACCAAATCTCCTTACCCTTCACTCTCACTGTTAATCATTTCTTTTTACGGCATGTCATGGTAAAAAAAAGAGATCAATGTATAATCTTGGTGCTCACAAAAAACGGCGTGTCAAGAGAAGGATTATTCCCTTGACATCGCTATTACGTTGTACACTGTTCACTCCCACGGCAATGTTCATTGTTTTAATAAATTTTAGTAAATTTATACATTTTCTTTATTCTTGACAATTGACTACAAATATAGAAAACTCTATTTTTTTAAGCTTTTCTCCCCAAGCAAGGCGGGAAGCCACTAGGACGCAAGGGGTTACAGAAAATTTGGAGCAAGATCAGATAGGAGTGATAGAGAAAAGGATGAGGAGAAGGATAGTGGATAGATCAAGGCAATACATTTGAATAGTTGGAGATTATAGCTCTCAGGGAAACTGGTATAGGGAAGGGAGTTACACAGGCGAGTGGTGCGAGACATGAAGCTATTAGAGTAGAAGAGACGGCTACATTTAGGAGTTTCGACAGTGAAAGGGTGAGAGCGGGATGCCAGCCTCGTAGGGCGCTTGAACTCATGAAGTCTGGGAACCAGTGAATGTAGCTCCTCGGAGCAATTGCCATTAAAGTATATGTAAAACAGACAGAGAGAGGCGACGGCGCGTCTGTGAGAAAGTGACTGTAGACGAAATGCCAGAGCAGGGCCAATTATATTGCATATCCGCCTCTGGAGCCTATCAAGAACCCTGAGGCAAACAGAAGGGGCTCCAGACCATATTTGGCAGCAATACTCCATGCAAGGGCGAATTGTTGATTTATAAATCTGGAGGATCGATTCCGGGGAGAAAAATTTCCTGGCGCGGCACAGGGATTATTTATTAGATTGCTTATTTATAAAAAATAATTTTATAATATAAAAGATTATAAAAATATGTAAACAAACTATCATGAAATGTTTATTATTTACCATTTTATAAAGAAATAAATATGAAATTATATCTTTTTTTTCGTAAATTTATAAAAATGTCTGAAGAATATGACAAATGGAAAACTGTTTTATTGAAACTAGATTCCGCGTTTCGACTTTACTAGACTTCATCAGACCAAAAACGAAAGAAAGAAATATGTGTGTGTGTCTGTGTGTGTGTCTGTGTGTGTGTATTTAAATAATAAATCGTTAGTACATTTTTTCTGATAAGCTTTTTTGCGCATATTCTTCAAACTTTGTCTGGAATCTGTATCGTATTTTATACACATAAACAAGAAAACAACAAGTGAACAAGAAAACAACAACGATAATTTTAGGCCCCTTGACGTGGTGTAGTGCTTTGCAAGCTTGTCTCGCTAGATCAATTACGACTCAATAGTGAATTCGTTTCTCACTGGGTGCCCCATATTTTCGACCTTGTGTTTGTTACATCTAAGCTACGCGTAAAAAATCACCATAACGACGTGTAACTGTAATTCTAATTTTTCATTTGCTCTCACCACATAAGTTCGCTAAAATAGGTTAAGAGCATCTTCTCCTCTGAACCAAACATTCTTTTAATTTGTTTATTCAAATTTCCTTCTTCTAAAGTTATTTATAAAATTGGATGATTTACATATTTTGATAATTTTGTAATTTCTTTTATAAATTTTTTGGATAAAAATATTTTTTTTCAAATTTATTTCTTTATAAAATGGTCAGTAATCTTTAATGTAAAAATAATAAAATAATTTAAGAAATAACAATTAATTCTTTTAAAAATTCATTTTTCATCGAAGAAATTTTTTGCCTTCAGACAATATGCATATTCATAAAAACAAATAAAAGCAACTAAAAGCATTTAAAATTAAATAATATCTTTGTTTTATTGAGTTTTGTATGTTACAATTCAGAGCTGATTTTAGGAAGACGAGGTTGGATTTAAAAAAAAAACAAAACATGATTTCCTTTCTTCAAAGCCTTGGGTTTTAACTAATATAATGACTTGCGTGCTTCGACACTGAATTTCTAGAGTTTTCATTAAATTATTTATGGGGGGGGGGTAATATATATATAAAAAATATATTTTTATCATGAGATTTAAGAAAAATAACATATTTATAATAATTTCCATCATTCCTGAATATTTTCTGAAAGTTTCATTAAAATCTGACAATTATTTCTATTTTTGCAAGATTTTCAAATTTAATGTCTGTCAAAAAAAAAAAAAAATGAACCAAAAATTCGCCATTTTACTTACTACTAGTTCGGGTGATGAAAAGTAACAAGGTTTTTCAATCAAAAGTTAGAATATTCTAATAAAGACAGGAAAATGTTTTAAAATAATTAAAAATTACTTTGCTCTTTCCTCTTAATAGTAAGTCAAACATTTTGACGATAAAATTTTGCTTTCGTCAAGTGTAAGGCCGTTTTTATCATGGTATACTCATTTTCCAGCGATCTCAATAATATACCTAGTAATAAACATTTATAAAAGGTAAATGAAGGCGAGGTGCAGTAATGGATAGCAGATCGGATAGAGGAATCGGAGAGCCGAGTTCGAATTCCGGTCATATCCATTACATTCACTTACGTACTAATACTCTTGGGAAAGGTATGAATCTTCTTCTTCTCCCTCCAGCTATGGGTAAATAGAAGGACAGACCGGATTCTTTAGCATTGGATGGCAACTGGTCTGTCGTAAAAAGAAATGGCAACCCACTGCGGGAAAAAAAATCTGCCTCGTCAATCATGTATCGAAAGACACATGATCGCCTAAGCGTGTATCACGCATGTCACGTAACTGACTGGCTGAAGTAATAGCGGTGGCAAATGAATAACCATCATTTTGATACACCGGTTTTTGCAAGCACAACGGTTAAACATTGCCAAAAGCATTAGTAAGATCATGCTGCGCCAACATGGCAAATGCGCTAGTAGCCTAATGGATAGAGGCTCCGGAAGAGAAAACGATATGTCGAGTTTTTTCAGTCGATTTTCGTTGCATTCACTTTTATGTAAATACTATTGGGAAAGATATGCATCCTTCTCTTCTTCTCCACCAGTTATGGATTAAATAGTTACGTCGACTGGGCTCTTCAGTTTTTGTTGGCAACTAATCTAAATTTAACGGATAGAACATTGCAATTAATTGAGGGTCTGTCTGCTTTGAAAATCAGCGTTCCAAATCCTGAATTTTACCTGAGCTCGAACACTGATCCCTGACAGGAAATTCCAGCCACAAGGCTGACTTAGTTATTTTCTTTTATTCTCCTTTTCTTTTAGTGCCGAGTTCCTTAAGAATAGAAGCGGTCATGGTTCTTTTCAACTTCCTTTTTTTTAATTTCGGTAAACTGTAAATTACATAAACTGTTTGGAGGCACGGATAATGTCAGCACGTAAAGTGAATTTGAGGCGCTGTGTTTAATTCCCAGTCAAATCTGTTTCGCTCATTTTGCGCTAGTGTCCTTCGAAAAGGCATGAACTCGTTTTTTCTACAACTACTGGTTAAAATTAATAAGAGTAGATAATAGTAGAGGTTTATCCTTTGTTTTCTGTTTAGAATTGAGTTTTTAGTTCTTTCTCCTAAAGTTTTCTCATTCTCTTTCACTCCCAGTAAAACCTTTGCGTCTTAGTGGCATTGTCGCCTTGCTTGAGGTGAAATGATTAGAAAAGAAAAAAGTAGCAGGACAGACTTGGCTCTCGTGTCTTGAAGGTAGCAACCAGTCTAGGAGAAGGTGAACTTTGAATTTAAAACTAGTCTGAAGAGATATGGATGCCGTCAGGGTATCTTGTCCAAGATACACTATGGTTGCAGTACATAAGATGCCTTTACGATGCAAATGACATGACTTAACGAAACTGTACATTATTATGACTGTTCTCGGGAAATATATTGGAGTAGTTTTATATTG